GGAAGCTTTAGGACGACGCAAAATGCAAAAAACATGGTTTTTCCCTATCTCGCTCTGTGATTTTTGCCCGGTTGAGCCGCCATCTTGGATTTTCAAAATATGTCACGCCGGTTGAGCCGAGTCAGCAATCTAAGTCTCCTATATCTATGGTGCTAACCGGTTTCCCATCGCTAAACCTCGAAGCTGTTGGTAAAATGTTAAATATAATAGGATTGCGCTCCAGAGACCTCCGCTTTATTTCGAGCATAAATAAGTATTTTTTAAGCTTTTGTACAACATATCCTATTAGATTAAAGCTAAAGACTTTGTGCATCTATTTATCGTATTTTGGATTTGGATTTATATTGTGGTGTAAAGTTATTTTGGATCGTCTTATCGTATTGTGTACATTATTGTTGTGTCACATGCTGCGAAGCTGAACTTTTGGATATTGCTCGTTATATCTTTGGCTTTATTTGTCGTATTCGTATGAAACTTGCTACGTATTCTACTAGCGGTGTTTTACCTTTTAGCGTGTTAATTTGGTCTCATTTGGTTACCTTGTTCGTGTTTTATTAAACTATTATTATTTTGACCGTTGGTACTTTAAATTTGAATTTGCCACGTCGCGTTCCTAGGCAACATCTTTACGGCAGCGTATCTTGGTTCTACGTATTTCAAAACATTTTTTTACCCTGGATTTATATTGTTCTTATCATTCGCTATATTTTGGTGTTGTTTTGTCAACTTTGGAATTAAACATTTGACTATCCGCTGTTTGTAGTGTGGCGTCGTGTATTCATTAATATTGTCTACAACTATAAGCTTTTATATTCCCCAATTTACTGGCGTGTTAGACGCACCAATTTGAGCTCTGTCCTTTTCGCTATAGCAATTCAACTTTTATTGTTTTATACCCAATGCCAACGCTCTAATAATATTAAAAACCACCAACTGACCGATTCATTACCTATACCTATGGGGAAGTTTCAAATGCTCCCTTGGAAGCTTTTCAAACCATCATTTGCGATCAATCATGACAATCGTAAATTAACTCGCTCTGCACGCAAATTCAACTGCCGACATGGATATCTTACCGGACTTCTACTATTATGCGGAGACATAGCTAGTCATCCCGGTCCTGTAATTAGCAGAAGCCCTACGGCCATCAATCCCGTTAAGTGCTTACTGCTTAATGCAAGGAGTCTGAAGAGCTTCAACCGAGACGTAGTGACCAATAAAACAATATACAATCTCAATCGTTTTCAAGATCTGGTATATGCGGAAAGCTCCGACGTCGTCTGTGTTAACGATACCTGGGTACCTCAAGGCTCCATACTAGGTCCCATATTATTCCTCTTATATGTTCATGACCTACCCGCAGTACCCGGTCTCGTCAAATCCAGTCAAGTCGCTATGTTCGCAGATGATACGAAAATATTTAAGTCTATCGCATCAATAAACGATACGAAATTACTCCAACAGGACTTGTCCAACTTAGAATCCTGGTCTTCGACTTCCGGTCTCCCCTTCAATCAAAGTAAATGTCGGTCGCTGTCTATCACTCGTAAAACGAAGCCAGTGGTGACTACATACAAGATGAAGGGTGAAACTCTAGAAATGACAAAATCGGAACGAGATCTTGGTGTCTGGATGTCAACTGATCTCACCTGGAATAATCAAGTAGTAGAACAATCTTCCCGTGCTAACAAGTTGCTAGGTTATATCAGACGGAACGCACGGTTCATTCAAAACACGTACCAGCGTGAGGAGGGCATTGTATTTAACATTAGTACGCCCTCACTTAGGATATGCCACCCAGATCTGGTCGCCACAGTCCATCAACCTAATTGCAAGATTGGAAAAAGTTCAAAGGCGTGCCACGAAATTTATTCTCAATCTGCCGTTTTCCAGTCCAGACAGTTATACCTCGCGATTACAGTCTTTATCATTACTTCCATTATGTTACTGGCATGAGTTTTTGGATTTTTTTTTTTTTTTTTTAAATCGTAAACAATCTGGTAATAATAGAACCTTCTGTAGTACCAAAAACCCGAAGCTCCAGACCGACCAGATCGTCTATAAACACGGACATTCCTAAGTTTGTCATTCCCAGGAGCAAAACAACGACGCATCAACGCTCGTTTCTAATTCGAAGAACCAGGGTGTGGAACAGCCTAGCTGACGAACTGAAACTTAACATGATAAATTTGAACTCATTTAAATCCACTATTCTAAGTTATTACTTCCGTGCTCTGGAAATTTCCTACGATCCTGAAAATCCAAGAACATTCAAAACTATATGTACCAAGTGTAATACCGCTCGAACTCTGGTTCAGCCTCTTAGGTGTTGCTATTAGTTATAGTTTTATTTAGATAGTTTTTTTATGTTTGTATGTCCTAATTCGGGCCCGCAGTAATTGACTCACGCTGTTGCGGTCACCCTGCCTTGAGTCATGTCTATTATTCTTGTTCTTGTAATAGTTTTGTGTATTGTAATATGGCGAAACTAATAAATAAAATAAATAAATAAATAAATACTTGGATACAACAAAACCTGGACTCGGTTGTCTCTAGATATCCCCAGAAATGGCTTATCCCGGTAAGGGGTAATATAAGTCATTTTAAGTCAAAACTTGGTGTACTGTATATGTTTGCCCTCTTACAGATATTATCAGATATTTTCTCTCTTACAACAATGTCAACTGTCAGTCCATTGAATTGTAAGAGTGTCAACAAACGCGGACATTCAACATTTGTATACTGTAACATCATGGAGGAATATTAACATCAACGGAATTATTGAGAAGGCGTGGCAGTGAAATGTCGGACAGATTTGTACAGAAAGCTAACACAGCGAAGGAGTTGGCAAAAAAAATTTTGAGAAGATGTAGTCAAGCTATATTTATTTGAAACAACAAAAAATCCTCATTATTCGCCTAACAGAAACGTGCCTAAAAACATTAACAAACTATGACAACAAATTGTGATTGAAATGCCGACTGTTCGGCAGCTTTGCTACATATGGCGTCATAATTCAATTCTAAGAACTATTACGTACCCCATAAATATGTCGCGTATCCTGTTCTGATTGGTCACCAAGCCGCTGCCATGTACTGCAACAACATCGCTACCCCTTGTTTTTGTGATTTTGCTATTCACCTCTGAAAATTTGATGTACAACTCTGAAAGCATTTTGAAGCATTCTTACGGTCGAAAGTATCATCGGTGAGACGTCAGCAGTAAACAACAACTCATGCAACAAAGGTACAAATGGCAAGTGAGACGGAAGAATCGGCTGCATTAAAAACAAGGAAATTCGCTAGTTTAACAGTTAGCGAAATAGAAGAGAGTTAGAGAGAAGCAAGACACTTTGCAAAATGAAAGAACAAAGCGACAGGAAAAGTTGGTAGGAGAACAATTCAAAGCTTTTTGAACTTTCAAGGGGAAAGAGAGAGACGTGGATTTTTACAAGTTTGATATCAAAAAACTAAACGCTTGTCACGCCAACTTCTTGTTTAATCTTCGTACAGATGCAAAGGATTTTCACAATACGAAGTCGCTTGAAGCTATGCGATACTGGCTGAACAGGGACCTAAAGCTCATGGATTCGACATCACCAACAAGGCGTCCGTTGGATTTCAGAAAAGCATAAAAGCGTTTGAAGAAGGCGCCAAACGCGTGATCAAAATGAGAGAAATTTCTTGTGAAGGCAAGTATTATTTTTAGTGATATATCAAATATATTACTCAATACATACGTAGCTATAGTCAACACTAAGAAAAGTTAGCAGTAAATTATATCAAGATATCCGAAGCTCAAAAATATATGTGTTTTTGTATTTGTAGATTTAGCCAAGTCTACAGGTCTCAGTATTTGGACCCAATTAAGGGACCCAGAGAGCTCCAAAACAACTTTACTAAACTTTTGAGCCGGCTGTGAACTAATTATAACACCTCATTATACCAATCATTAGGAAGCTTAAGCATGTAGGACGGCAACACGACGACGGCAACCAATACAATGAGTCAATGAAAATAAATAAATAATTAAAGTCCCAGTTGAGTTTCAGACGTGGTCGTTGCTCTGTTTACAACGGCAAATCACAGATTTTCACGTCTTTTATACAACGCCTGCATTTCAATTGCATTAAAAGAATTTTTAATCGGCAGCAAGTGCAACTTAAAATTCGGTTCAGTCGAACTCTTCCCAAATAAAAAAACAATGTTTTCAACTTCTTATACTGTATCAAATTCATATAGCCTTTGTGCAGGCCTACCGAGAGAAGAATAGTTGGCCTGCAAGCAAGACCAGGTACTTTGTACTTTCCGCGTTCGCCCACGAACGCAGCATTCTGATTGGCTGTTTGCTGTTGGATTCTATAATTAGATCAGTGATTCATCACAAAGGCTCTCGATAAGCTTATAAAAATTGGATCTGATCACTTTTTCGATTAAAAATGGAACAAGAACAGACTTATCGTTTACTTGAAGGAAGAGATGTTTTCGCCGTTATGCCAAAGGGGATTGCTTGTCGTGAAGTGTTGGAATATCCCTATTGCCTCACGGCAACAGCAGTCACCCATTCTGAAATTATCCAAGCATTCTGACAAGCAAATAATGCCAGTTACTTGACACGAGTCACATGCACCCTTGGGTTTCTGCAAATGAAAAGAATATGATAGGACACACCCTTGGTTACAGTACTCCTTTTTAAATCCCTCAGTTATTCCTATGGTGCAAGCAGAGATCTATTGCTCCAGTTAAAGCGAAGCGTTCAATAAATGTTGCACACACTGGGAAGCTGTCATGCATGCACCCACACGAAAGTGAAAAGGAACATCATCAGCAGAAATGCCGAAACCTTAACACAGCATAGTCATTGGAGCTCTGCCCAGGATCAGATGTCAACAGTGGACACCACACTCACTGACATTTCAAACACAGCAATAGTTCCACTAAATAACAATCCTGATGTATACGGCCTGACTTTGATTTAGAAAGCATTTTTTATGATGTTGATACAGACAAGTATGACTATGACTATGACTATGACTATGACTATGACTATGACTATGACTATGACTATGACTATGACTATGACTATGACTATGACTATGACTATGACTATGACTATGACTATGACTATGACTATGACTATGACTATGACTATGACTATGACTTTGACTATGCGGATGTTATATGGGGAAACAAAAATAATACAATGTTAATGAACAATCTTCAGATACTCCAGAACAAAGCCGCCAAGGTTGTTTTAGATAGACCATTTTTTTCATCGGCAACAGACGCGTTAGACACTTTAGGCTGGACCACTCTTGAACAACGCAGATTGTATCATAGATGTTTATTTGTTTTTAAGTGTCTAAATAATCATACCTCACATACACCCTTTTCATAAATGGCTGCCGATTAAAAATTCCTTTATGTGCATATAAATTGGCCCAACTAGCCTCGTTTCTGGGTAGAAATTCCTCAATCTCGTACCCAGAGCAATGCCTGTGCGCGGGCTAGGATGGCATTGGCTCTGGGGAAATTGACAACCGGAACCCCTAAATTTAGGGGTTCCGGTTCTTTGTCGGCATGCACGATTGATAAACGTTAAACCAATCACAGCACAGAAAAAATTCAATTTCTCCAGAGCCAATGCCATCCTAGCCCGCGCACAGGCATTGCTCTGGGTACGAGATTGGAAATTCCTTTGAAATCTTAACATGAGTACGAGGCTGGTTGGGCCAATTTATATGCACATAAAAGAATTTTTAATCGGAAGCCATTTATGAAAAGGGTGTATGGATTTGAACTTCTAGCGAACAGAGAAATACACAACTACAATACGCGATATAAGGACAATTTAAGGCCACCTAAAGTGTCAAGGAATTGGGGAAAGCAAAGACTCGCTTATCAGGCCATAACAGACTGGAACAACTTGGACAGAAACATAGAACTATCTACTAGTATTTCTACATTTAAGAAACTTTTTTTAGCAATCTTTGAACTTTAGCTCGTATAATTTTTTAATATTTTTCATAGTTATGTAGTATATGCATGTCTTCCTTGTAAAACAGTTTATTTAGTTCAGGACCTTTCTGAAAATCACTTTGTGAGAAAGCCTTCAGAAATTAAATATTAATTAAAAAATTAAAAAAAACAAAGTTGTATTCTGGAAAAGTATTCTGGAAAATGTTGAAGCAAACAACTCAAACATGTCATTTAATTGCCAGCATTTCAATACTGTATAGGCTATAGCTTTAATATCACTTTTAATATCTGCAAGAGTTGAACTTAATTATAACTGATACTGAGCAAAGAACTAAATTTGTTGTGTCACTTAACATCGGTGTCACTTAACATCGATGTCACAGTCAGTCGCTGGGGAGGAAAGACGTGCTAAAAATTGCTCCAACAAAAACATGCAAAATTCAGAATCGAGCTTCACTCAAGGCTATAGAGTTAGCCTTTTGCGTGGCATATCAACGAACGACAAAGGCAAACTGTTTGGCCGATTCGCTAGAATCGTTGAAGCTGTTTGTCGAAGAAGTTTTGAATATCGCTAACGGCATTTGGATTTGTCCTGGCGGCGAGGCGAAGCAATTTAAGAACAAAGCTTAGACATTCGCTGGTATCCTACGACAAAATCAATCACTGTGAGTGGAAATCTAGAGAACGAAATCAAAGAAAAGCTTCATTCCCTAGCTTCTATATCAAAACAACTGCTGGTAAATGCTGAAAATTATGAAGAAGCTCCAGACCATGACGATCATAACGACAAGAATACAAATCGTTCTTTTGTTAAAGACGACCCGGCAATATCCCTAGAGTTACTTCAAGAGCTCAGCTCAGAGTCCTTTATTAATACAGCTGCTAAGTCAGTTATAGATCACAGTACATCAGATCTGCCTCTAGACTTGCCCAAGTCTCTCTCGAATGGGTTTTGATAAGGTATATCCAGTTTATTATGAGATCAGTTTTGAACTTGAAACGGAGAACGAGAGAGACTTGTAAAACTCGGCACTCATTAATATTCACCGGAAATAACAATAAAATTAGCAGGGGGGAGGGAAAGCGCGGGTGTATTGCAAAAATGCGAATTTGTGATGGCATATTTTAACTATCGAAAGAAAGGCTATAGATTCTGTGAAATCGGTCATTAGGTTGGACACTTTAAGCGAATACCAGATTGAGGCACTTTCAAATCTGCTTAGAGTAGAGGTAACGAATAACGATTGTTTTATTTCTCGGCCAACGGGATCAGAAAAATCCGCTCTATATCAGTTTATATTTCCTTTCGCTTTAATATATGAAGCGTTTCAACTATTTATATCGAATGATGTGTACGTAGAACCAAAAACCCAGGAAATTGTAATTGCTGACGCAGCGAGCGAGCCTGAAGCGAGCGAGCAAGTCAGCAATTCTAATTCGTATTGGGCTCTGAAAGTAAGATTTTACTTCCGTTTCTCCGACCAGAATGCACTGCTGTTAACCGACCAGCATGCATTGCTGTTAGCCGACCAGTTTATATAAGCCGGTAACGATGCAGTTCTTTTGGTGTATTTTGTATTTCATTGTATGCCTGGTCTGTTGATTTCTGGCTCGTCTTACACTATATATACTGAATTTGTTTATTACAATTTATAACGCTTCGAAAGCGAATTTATGCGTTTGTGCTCTTCGCCTTATTTTCTTTTGTCTTTTCTTATTTCATGTGGCACTTAGCAGTAAAATCAACATTGTATTTACACGTCTGAAAGCGTTCATTTCAAGCATTAAAATCGAATAAATTATTGTCCGTCAGTTTCACTTTGCTATAATTTAAACAGGGTTTAGGTTGTAGACTTTTTGTTTGAATATGATTTGACAATAAGGTAATTGACACGGAGACATGGCATGAACAGTCCGGCAACTGCCAACTATGTTTATAGCATGGCGTTAATTTTAAAAGAACGATGCTTTGCGTGCTATTTCATGGGTTAACTAAATGTACTTTGGCTTCCAAAAAGCACACTACACTATACTCAGTGCGTACACAACATAGTTTAATTTATGCATGGGCATTATTGTTTAAGCATGCAACGCAGCCAGGGGAAGCCAGGGGCAAGTCAGTATTTATACTACTGATAAGTATACTAGTTATACATCTGAAAACAACACTGTCACCTCTTCCTAGCATATCGTCACGCCATCGTGATCTACGGCTGGATAGTGCATGCGCATTTGCGCTACTAAAGAAAAAATCGGGTGTTCCGGGGTAAAGATCCTTTACACAACATGAGAAGCGAATGTTCTAAAATTTACAAAAAATTACAATAACGAAAGCGATTCCTCGAAATTTTTGTGAACTTGGCAAAAGGATAACAGAATATGTAAATAAGTTAACTGAAATTGCCTGAATAACCTTCAAAGTACTGACTAAGTACAATAAAACACTACGAACATAAATCGTATACACCCCCCGGAAAGTTTACTCTATGACTGACTGACTGTTTGACAGACTGACTGATTCATGTGAATTCGCCAGCCATCACAATAGTGTGAAGTGAAACTTCACACTAAAAAGCGATAGTCTTTCTAAAGTGCTTATAGTGTTTAGAAGGGTTGCTTTTAG